AGTGTTAAAGTGAGGTCAGGACCTGCGGATCAGAACCACTAGGATTGTGTATCAATATTCATCTTACTAGTCTCCATCACTGGGGAGAATAGTGGTTAGGGGAGGTGAGGGACTCTGCATTTTAACACACCTGCCAGGTAATTCTACACATTGAAATCTGAGAACCACCACTTCAGGGAAATGTCTCAGAACTCTTCACAGCTGTGCTGCAGTAATGCATCAAGACTTGATAGTTATTATCACTGGACAGTTTCCTCAAGAGATGTGTCATAGGACCTGTTTTGTTTTTAGAAAATTACAAACTAAGCTGGACTTTTTTCTTAAGAAAATTTATTTTAAATTTATATAACCCCCTAAAGAGGGAAACCCCCCTAGAACCTTTAATAAGTTCCCTTTTGGGATTATTAGCCTCATTATCAAACATTAATTTATTGTAAGTATATTGATTTATGTCCAATTTTTACTCGGATAAATTTCTTAGAGGTCTCTATTCATGAAAGACTAACATTAAGTTTTAGAAAGTTAAAAAGTGAGGGCCAGAAGTGACAAATTTCTCCTCTCTCCATTGTTCCTGAGGATGGTATGACTTATATGACCGAAGCCATTTATGGTTTTATTTACTGCCTGATATTTGTGCTTTGGTAGCATACTGCAAGTAGTTCTTATGGCTTTATAGGGGAAATCATGACTTTTCAGCCTCTTTTTCTCAGTATTCTATTCCTAAGTCACTTTGCACAGATTATGAGGCTAAAGACAATGTGGGTCATCATTTTCCATGAGGAACCTGTGGTTACTGTCTATAGTACAGGATGGCAATGATCACATTTCCATGAGTCAAAGAACAAGGGAAATAGTCCAAGAAGTGACAATAAGTACATAAGATTGAAATTAATCCTGATAGAAAAAAATGATAATCTATGGAGCTGAATGTTCTACCACCTAAAGTTGTTACCTCAGCTGGAGAATTTCTCCTGGTGGCTCTCAACTTGTGTTTGGGAACAATGGCAAAATCTTCATTACGGTCAATGGTGAGTCATTTGTAGGTAACTGTTGGGAGCCATAGCCGAAGGGGCCCCAGCAAACTTTCAGACTGCCAGCTGATGATTGGCTCACAGCGGCCCCAGCAACATCTAGCTGATTGGCTCCTCTGCGGTGATGCTCATTGGGCTGTTTCCCCGCCCTTTCAGACTACGGAGCTTCTCATTGGGGGACTTTTTTTGGCTCTGCCCACACGACCCAGCCAATCGACCTCAAGAGCAGGAGGAGTGGGGGAGGTGGAGAGGCTTGTGGGAAGCCGGTGGTGGCAGTTGGGCTCTGAGGGTTTTTCCTGAGGAGCTGTTTTGTTTGGCGTGTGTGGTTCTATAAATAAAGTTAGTTTCTTTTGACAAGTGGCTCCTGAATTGGGCCCAGCCAGACTGCAGCATTTCGCCTAGCCATCTCCTTGAAAAATTCCTCATTGGCAACCTTCCATAACAGGTATTGTCCTCCATTTAGCACAGCTTTACACATATTAGCCCAATCTGCTGGTGTCATGTTCAAGTTGTTAATGGATTCGACCAAGCTTACAGTGAAGGGTGCTTGAGGACCATAGGTTGTTACAGCCTCTTTTAGCTGCTTCACTGTTTTGAAATTTAAAGCATGTGAATTTGCTGCCCTCCTGCCTCAAATACAGGGCATGTTAATACTTGAGATCCTGTCTCAGGATCCCAACTATCAACTGCGGGGGTTGGGGGCCTCCCAGCATATGGAGGTGGCCTTGTTAGAGCTTGGTGCTGATAACGCCAACGTCGCGGGTTCGTTCCCCATATGGGCCACCAAATGCTGCAGTCTGGCTGGGCACAATTCAGGAGCCACTTGTCAAAAGAAACTAACTTTATTTTTAGAACCACACACGCCAAACAAAACAGCTCCTCAGGAAAAACCCTCAGAGCCCAATTGCCACCCCCCAGCTTCCCACAAGCCTCTCCACCTCCCCCACTCCTCCTGCTCTTGAGGCCAATTGGCTGGGTCGCATGGGCGGAGCCAAAAAAAGTCCCCCAATGAGAAGCTCCGTAGTCTGAAAGGGCGGGGAAACAGCCCAATGAGCATCACCGCAGAGGAGCCAATCAGCTAGATGTTGCTGGGGCCGCTGTGAGCCAATCATCAGCTGGCAGTCTGAAAGTTTGCTGGGGCCCCTTCAGCTGTGGCTCTCAACAGGTAACCACTTATACATTCTATTGTTTTGACTTGATCTTTATACCCTTAGCTTGAGTCAGTTAAAAAACTTTAAAAAAATTTTTTGAGTAATGATATATAAATAATATACATTTGAAAATAAAGTAATTGAAGCATAATTGATCAAATGATAATTATTGACACATAAAATCCTCAGTCATTTATATGATATGGACTTTATTCAGGGTCAAAATGGCATTGGCAAACATACCTCTGAGCTTTCATTTATCAAAATGGAGAATGAACTGGCCATTTTAAGAAGCCAGGTACTAACATGACTGGAATTTAAGCAGATGGGCCCTTTACCTCCCTCCACAGAATTATTGTAAACATGACATGATGTAAAACATCTTCTTTGGGGGAAAGGAGAGATCTAGGATCAAGGTAAAGAGGAGCTCTCTTTCTTGCCCTGTCCCATTTAGTGTATCCTGCTTATTTCAGCACAAATGTATTGAACTGTACTGTTCTAGGCCTTATGCTAGCAATAAAAATGTAGAGATGAAGATTTAGCTCACAGTATTTTTAATAGCTTTTTATTGTGATTAATCACATACCACATGATTTAATGTGTGTAATTCAATGGGTCTTACAATATTCACAGGGTTCACAATATTGTATTTAGTTGAGGCTCACATCAACATTTTTTACTTCACAATTCTTCATGTCCAATGGGAAGAAAATTTTCTTAGGTCCATTCTTAGATCTATTTCTTCCTTCAAAATAATAGTACCTACCATTTATTAAACACCAGCTCAGCACTGAGCTCAGTACTGTGCCTGGGAGCTTTACAAACGTTATCTCATTCATGGGCTCACAATAACCTTGAAAAAAAAATTCTTTCCATATCTTATACACAATGACAACAATACATAAATACCTAGCATTTATTGAGTACAATTAATCTCTCTCTCTCTCCATATATATATGTATATATATATATATATGTATATATATATGTATATATATATATGTATATATATATGTATATATATATGTATATATATATGTATATATATATATATATATATACACATACATACATACATATATAATCTATCTTCTCTAGATTCCCATATTCATTCTCTCCCCCTTTCCCACTAGTTATCAACTCTATAACATTTGCCTCATGTGCTTTCCTCTTGTTTTTGAAGCTTGCTGGGCTGTTTTTGTGAAGGAGAGAGGAACGATTAGGATTTTGAAGCTTTTGAAGATTAGATGCTTTGCTTCATAACAGGTTTTTGTTTTTATTTTTTTAATAGGAGGAGAGGATACCTTTGTGCAGACAGATAAAAGGTGAATGCAAAACTACTGAAGGGCTATGGCCAAGTCATTTAGAGAGATATAAAAGCATTTCTTTGTAGAAACTTTCAGGTGTTTGTTATTTTCTTTTTTTAATTAATTTTTAAAAATTTATATATGACAACAGAATGCATTACAATTCATATTACACATATAGAGCACAATTTTTTTAAAGAGAGAGAGAGAAAGAATTTTTTAATATTTATTTTTTAGTTTTTGGTGGACATAACATCTTTATTTTAGTTTTATGTGGTGCTGAGGATCGAACCCAGTACCCCATGCCTGCCAGGCGAGCGCATTACTGCTTGAGCCACATCCCCAGCCCAGAGCACAATTTTTGATATCTCTCGTTGTATACAAAGTATATTCACACCATTTTGTGTCTTCATACATGTACTTTGGATAATGATGACTATCACATTCCACCATCATTTCTAACCCCATGCCCCCCTCCCTTTCCCTCCCACCTCTCTGCCCTATCTAGAGTTCATCTATTCCTCCCTTGCTCCCCCTCCCTACCCCACTATGAATCAGCTTCCTTATATCAGAGAAAACACTCAGCATTTGTTTTTTTGGGATTGACTAACTTCACTTAGCATTATCTTCTCCAACACCATCAATTTACCTGCAAATGCCATGATTTTATTCTTTTTTGTTTGTTATTTTCAATCTCAGATTTGCTTTTCCTTCTAAGATCTAATGCTCCTACCTGTTAGCTAACTTTTCTGTACTATGAAGTCATTCCTGTGCAAATTTTTCTATCATAAACCTACCGTCTTGTTTAAAAAGAAGTTTATAAATGTCACATGAAAAAGGTGTTATGTGCTGAAGTACCAGTGTAAGGGTAAGAAATAGAGGCTTCCATAACTTTGGACAGTTGTATACCTTTAAACTAATGATTCTCTCCAAAATCTAGCACACAAAAATATTCAAGTTGACTTACTTTCTGGCACTAATTTATATGTTTTATATATTTTATGGTGAGTAATGAATATTGGATTCTGAAGCTAACTTTTCTAATGGTTCTAAATTAAAGAAAAGCATTTTGTGATATACACTTTTTTGTTGTTGTTGTTTTAGGCTGTGGGAAAAGCATTGCTAATAAAAGCACCAAAATAATAGAAAAACTTTAGCAATCCTAATAATTATTCACTGAATCTAAATTTTTTAAAATGAAGAGTATAAGAAGTTGATTTGTCCATTATCGAACCACTTAGGCTGCTTTATAACTTCAAAAATTAAGTAGTTTGAATCTGCAATTTCAGTTTCTTTGATAACTAACTGCTTCTTTAAATTTTACAATTGTTTAATCAAAATTGTATATTTTATTTTTCCTACTAAGTTAGTTATTATATCTTATTTTATTTTAGTTTATATATTTTATTTATCTCACCCAGCATCATATACTGTCTTTATGAGTTTAGGATTTTTCTCCAATGTTAAGAAACCTATGTTCTAATGGCTTTATTTTATTTTATTTTTTCTAGGAGTCAGAGAATAATAAAATATGTTCCCTATATTCCTTCCGAAATACCTCTACCTCACCACATAAGCCTGACGAAGGGAGTCGGGACCGCGAGATAATGACCAGTGTTAATTTTGGAACCCCAGAGCGCCGCAAAGGGAGCCTTGCCGATGTGGTGGACACACTGAAACAGAAGAAGCTTGAGGAAATGACTCGGACTGAACAAGAGGGTATGTGTAGACTTAACTGTTGGGCTTTTCTTCTAGATTCCAGGCCTTAAAAAAATGAGTGGGATTTCAGGGGCCAGAGAAGTGCATAATTGGCATTAGCTAGGAAAAAGTTATTCAGAGGTTACCATGGTGATGGCAGATTGTGAACCATTAGGAGTGCTAAGCAGATAGCTCTGTTTTTCTAAAAAATTTTATATTTTATTTGGTTCTTATAATTAAAAAAAAAAAAAAAAAAAAACTCAAGATTTTAAACTGACCATAATCATTGCCCTGGAAAAAGGTAGGGAGGGAAATTTCTTAACTTTTCCATTTTTTCTCTGTTTCCTTTTGGCAGATAGTGTTTCTTTATGAAAATATCAAATGTTTCGAATGCAAAAACTTTTTTCTAAAATTTAGTTCTCTTCAGTCATAGATTATCTTATACATTTAAAAATGTTATTTTTACTTCCAAAAGTAGAAAGATGAGTTAAAGGCTTTTAATACTGTTAAAACTCAAAGTTCCAGGGCAAGTACTTTGACATGTGACATCTGCTGCCACATTGCCCATTTACCTTCTCCACTTCTGCACAAGAGTCTCAGGTTCACCTAGGTCCTAGAAAACAGAGGTAGAGAAGATTCTCCAATAATATTTCTAAACAAAATAATTAAAGTCTAAGTTATTGCTTTACTATGCATGCTTTTTCATTTTTATGTAAAGAATTTATGCCTTAAAATGTAGGGTGATTCATGGCTCTGGATTTATTACTAGTCTTGTAAGTTAAATCTGTGACACTGTAGGAACTTTGAGATTTGATACAATAGAGAATTTTTCTGATAACTTAATTTTACTCATTTAAGGCTCAAAAGTCTAGGTTTTAAATTCATTTTTGTGGAAGTCTTTCAAAATGTATTGCATGTTTCCTTGTTTTTATTAACCAGATTTTTTTTAACACAAATGTAGATATTTTTTGAGTATTGAGGGTCATGATGCAGTAGAGTAAAAACAGTAATACCCATCTAATAATTATATTTCCCTGAGTATGTTAAATCTCTTTGAACCATAAAATTCAAAATTTGGTATGGTACTGATTCCTGATTTGGCAACTCAAAACATTATGAGAATTAACTTCAATAATAAATATAAAAGTTTCTTGGGAACTGTAAACTATATGCATTGGAGGTATTGTGATGTTTATTCTGTTATAAATGTCAGTTGTTTTACCGTGCTTTTATGTAATAATTGCCCCTGGAGATCACTGAGATGATTAGAACTGTTTGACTTTATACTTATTTCTCTGCAATTATGAAGCTCTAGAATCCTTGTGTCTCCTTGATACATATGTACATTTATTTACACACATATATGTGTGTGTGTCTGTCTATCTATCTATATTTTTTGTGTGTGTGCATGTGCTGGTTTCTTCTTCAGTATCAGGTTGCAGGCTAATTTTTGCATAGTTGTGAATAATTTCTCATTTGTTCTTTCATTCATCTGTAGATTTTGAAGTTAGGTAATCAGGACTTCTGAACTATATTTAAAATATGAACAAATGTGTTCTGGATGAGTTGCTGAAAGATTCTGGGTGATATACATGATCTTTAATGTATGAACTTCATGCTGACACTTCTGCCTTTTCAGAGACTTTGTTTTTCTAATTCTTGGTTATGTTCTGAATCATTCAAAATGCTTGATCAAAAAAATATCTGAATAAGTGAGAATGCTAAATTAATTTTAATTGTGATTCAACAAAAAGTTGATATAAAAGTAGTTATTTATATAAATATTCAAAAAGTACTTATATAAGAAGGTAGTTTTCAGAATGCCCTGAAGAGATTTTTAAGGTAAAAATATTTTGATGTATTATGATTTTTTTTCTTGGAATACTTGGGAATTTTAAATCAAATTTTCTTGCAAGTAATGGTTAATTTTCTATTCTTCCTCTTCCTTACCATGAGTTATACTTGCTTTTGTACAAGAGAAACTTCAAGACAAGACTGCTCATTTTTAGAGTTCTTTATCATTTTATTACTACTAGCAAAAAATGCTTTTATACATACTTTCCAGATTTTTAATGTTTTTACAATAATATGTTTTAGACATCAGAAATTCAGCCATTTTTAGTGCATATTATTATACATAATATATACTAGAAAGCATGATCATTAGATTTACCAATCTCACAAATCTGAGAGGAACAGTGAATATAATGTATGCAAGACACAAAACTCAAAACAGTTTTGTAAAACTGGAAATGGAACTTAAAACAAACCTATAAAGATACAATTTAATAGATTTTATTATCAAGTTCAGAGATTATGATTAGAACCCTCAGCTGTGCAAGTAATTACTGCAGGAAATTCAAATAACAGCTATCTGAGTGAAAATAATAATCTTGTGAGCTTTAGATGTCAGAAAGCACAATGGGATCATCAGGTTAAATACTGCCAAAAAGGTTGCCAATGCTAGTTAGGATTAGCAATATTAGAAGTATGGTATGTGATATTCAAGAGATTGTGTTCCACTGAACTCCCTTGCTCTATAAAATGTATCTGAAGTACAGTGTTGAGTTCATAATTACCATACTAAGATTTAAAAGCTTTGGGATATTCTCAGATAACAATTGACATAATCAGAGACATAAAATTACATAATAAGAGGAATGGTTGAAGGAACTCGTAATATTAACACCAGAAAAGAATATCCAGGATGGCATGATAGTGTCTAACAGTTGTATGTGTCCATATGAGTCAATCTACAATCTTTATTGGAAGATAATTAATAAAATGAAAGATCTCTAAAGAGATCTCTCTTTAGTGTTAGGCAGCAATCTCAATTGTCATTTTAATAGGGCTAAGACTATGAATTTTTATGAACAATATTTTTCCTTTTTTTTTTTGTACCAGGGATTGAACCAGGGACGCTTAGTCACTGAGTCACTGAGTCACATCCCTAGCCATATATATATATATATATATATATATATATATATATATTTTTTTTTTTTTTCTCTTTTGAAACAGGGTCTTGCCAAGTTGCTCAGGACCTCACTAAATTGTTGAGGCTGGCTTTGAACTTGCAATTCCTCTGCCTCAGCCTCCTCCTCCCAAGTCACTGGGATTATGGGCATGGGCCACCACTCCTGGCTGAACAATATTCTTTCTTATACAATGTTCTTTTTATACAATATCTTTTTATGACCCTAATGAATAGCTATATAATGTTGCAATTTTTCCTATACCTTTTTCTCTTCTGTGCAAGATACTGTATCAAAACTCAAGGATTGGGCTGGAGTTGTAGTACAGTGGTAGAGTGCTCATCAAGCATGTGGGGAGACACTGGGTTTGATCCTCAGCACCACATAAAAATAAATAGATAAAATAAAAGGAATTATTTCCATCTACAACTAAAAAATATTAAAAAGCAAAACAAAAAACTCAAGGATTCTTAAATTCTTACCTTTTTTGTTTTCTGTAAATCTCTTTGATAGTCTAGTGAAGCCTACAGTTCCTTTCTTAGAATTATTTTAATCACATAAAGTACATAGAATTAGAGAAAATGAATTATGTTAAAATATTAAATACTTTAAAAATTTTGTGATATTCTAAAATATGCTACTTTACCAATACATTAAAAATAAGATGTAATGGGTGGCTTAACAATATCATAATTTTGAAGTAGTGTTAAGCAAAATAAATATTTTGGGGCTGGGTAATATAACTCAGTTGGTAAGGGTGCTTGCCTAACTTGCACAAGGCCCTGGGTTCAATCCCCAAGCACCACAAAAAAAAAAAATTGTATCTTATATACACTTCAACAAGTATAATATGATATAAAATGTTTATTCTAATCTATTTGTGATCATGTCACAGTTGCAATGCAATGCTCTGGTTTGTTGCCTGCATATATAACTTAAGGAAAAGCAAATTTTAAATTAGAGACTAGTGAAAAAGAATCATTTTACATCCAAGTTCATAGATTCCCTGAATTCTCTCCATTTCTCTTGGGGTTGTGGAACTCAGGCTAAAAAAAAAAACCACAAAACCCTATTCTAGATGATATGGAGCATCCATAATGAATAAAACAATAGTCCCAAACTTTAGAAATTCATATTCTAGTAAACAATATGAAACATATATCAAATGAACTATAATGAAATGTCTAATATATGATTAATTCTATAAAAGCTATACAGATGAAATGTTATAGGAATTTACAAAATTGACATATTGCTTCTATCTAGAAAGCCATGGAAAGGTTCTATAGAGAAATGGGTCCTAACTAGTCTTGGAGAATGAAAGGATTTGTGTAAACAGAAATATAAGGAAGAGACATCTCAGGCAGAAGGAACAGGCAAAGAGCGTTAAAACAGCCAACAATTTAGGTTCTTAACTAAAGGTGAATTTGCATATGGGACATAAGACTGGAGAACTATGTTGTATTCATATCATGGAGGTCCTTTAATTTTGAGCCAAGTTTGAACTTTAAAAAATGAAGGTGATGGAGGAATCATTGACTATTTTTTTTTTTTTTTTTAGCACAATAAGGTGATGGATTAGAGTTTTCCCTTCAGGAAAGTTATCTGGTAGGACTATGTAGGATGGATGGGAACAGGGAGAGACATTAAGAAAATTGTTCCAGGCTATAGATAATGAGGCCCTGAACTAATACAACAGAAATGAGAAATGAAGGGGGCTGAATATGGAAAAGATATTAGGAGATAGAATGTTAAGACTTGATGTTTAAGTGTGGCAACTGAGAGGAATGGTTCAAAGATAGACTCTGGGAAAATAGGAGAGTGGTAATACAATTAATAAAAAATAAAGAAGTGGAGGAATATGTTTTGGAAAATGGGAGCAATGAGAATTTCTATTTTTTATTTTGAGTTTGATATTTTGAGCTTGAATCCTAATTTTAGTTATCTGTTTATAACAATAGAACAGAATAGTATCATGGAGAACAAATAATTATAGAAAAGGTCATTTAAAAGTTTAGAATAGACTTCTGATTCTAAAATAATTAT